TGCAGCCTCTACTCGGCTGCTGTAACACTCCTTCCCCTGAGTATACTCTCTCTCTTTCGCCAGCCGGAATTCTCGGGCCAGCCTTGTGTTTCGCTCGGCCGTGACCTGGTTCCAGATCACCCGGCGTACCTCCATGGGTAAATCATCCCCATACTGGGCCACTCGCTGCCTCACCTCGGCCATCCAATCGTCGCCAGAGCCTTCCATACTTGTCTGCTCCAAGTCGCTGGATACCTCTGCTCCCAGGGTCGCTGCACGTGTGCCCTCAATTTGTAAATCCAAACGAACTGTGTCTCTGAGCTGCTTTACCTCGCACTAGGACGCCATCCCACCGCTTGCCACCAATGTAGCGGATCACCTGGCACCCCGACTGGGTACCTCCGTTGAAGGATGCTCCTAGCGCTTCCTGAGGACTCCAAGCACTGCAGCACACACCACAACCACCGAACCGGAGAAGCATATGAATCCTCTCAAGCATATGAATGCTGTAGACAGTTGAATAGGAACCATACGAATAGGTTTACTCTCCTAGCAGTCAAACTGGAACAGCATACAATAAATCCTTCCCCCAATAATGAGGCGACACTTCACTTTGAGGGTTAAGCAGGAACTCCCTGTACTGTCACATACAGTCTCTTTTATTCCCAATCCACAAACATAGTACAGCCCACAGGGCGTTACAAAACAACCAATCACATCACAGTTACATCCCACATATTCCCTCCCCTTATCCTGAGAGGAAACTCAATTATACATACGGTTAAAACATACTTTCTACCCAACTTTCATAACTCCAAAACCATACATCACATTCACATAAAATTACATATTCACAATCAATCCATTCAGGGGAACAACATATTCAAAAATGGCACAAATCAGACAAGGGGTTCAAAAGTTGGTAAAAAGTCCTTTGTGACTAAATGAAGCATGGCTTTCTGGCCCAAACCAGTTTCAGAGTCTTCTATCCTGGAGATAAGTAATTCAATTATCTCCCAGGATATACACAAGACTCCATTAAGCACATGGTTGCAAAAAGACACAAAGCACTTTAAAATACATAAAGTCACATTTACACATAACACACAGACATTTCACATATCCCCAGATAGCTGGGATCTGAGTGCACATTATTAGATGAATGGCACTCAGATCACACAAATAAGCCTTTCTGCTGGGGAAATAAACGGTTTAACCTGCAGGGCCATAGTCCAAAGGGAGCAGGCGAGCAACCAGGCTTCTCCAGTTCACAGTGGCGAGGTTGGTTTCGCCACAGGACCCCTCCATGGGATCACCGGTACACGCTATAGTACCGGCGGGGATGGTCTCCCTGTCACCATGGAGGGCGGCGGGGGGCCCAGATACTTCCACAGAAGCAGGTTGTGCAGGTTTCTGGGGCATACAGGTGTTGCCACCTGCAGGGTTAGTATCCCTGGCCCCAGGCTTCTGCAAGGCCTGAACATCATCATTGTACATATACTCAGCATTTGAGCACTCACCCTCCTCTGTGGAATCTCCAGACCCCTTGACAGAGGTCTCAGGCTGACGCCGGGCGATGTTTTTCTTTTTCTTCTTTTTCTTCTTTTTGTCCTTTACGGAGTCCTCCCCAAGTTCGTTTCCAAACTTGAGGAGTGACTCCTTAATCAGCCCTCGACCTCTGTCCTGCACTTTCAGCTGCCACTCTTCACCTTTCTCTCCGTCCCACTCCTCTTCACTGTCCTTCTCTCTGGCCTTCCCCTCCGTCTCAGCAGCGCCCCCTGGAGTAGCAAGGGCAGAGGTAGACGGCAGAGGTAGACGGCTCCCCAGGTGAGTGATGGGAGTTGGAATCCAAATCCTTGCTGGACTCCTCACCTGGGGACATGTCCCTCCTGCCCTCCATAGCCCTCTGCCTCCTGGACCTCGCAGCGTCCTTGGCTCTCTGTTGCAGGATGGCCTGGATGTCTGCTATTTTCTTTTCAGTCTGGAGCAGGGTGTAGGATAGATGCTGCTCCACTAATTTTTTCTCAACTATAGCGGCCCTCAAAGGACCTCTTTTGTAATTAGAGGTCCTGTTTGATTTTTCCCTCTGCTCCCTTAGCTCTGCCTGGACCCCAGCTAGGCCAGAGTCTGCCTCGGCATGCTGGGCCTTCAGGGACACAAGCAGACCCCGGAGCCTGTCAGTAGGTAGCCCCATAAAGACCCTAGCCTCAACCCCCTCACCCTTTGCAGCCTCAGCATAGGTGAGGGAGGCCTGAGGGGTCTTGCTGGCACTAGCCACCTCAGGGGGGGTCTCAGGGACTACCTCCTCCTCGGTACCCTCTCCCACCTCCAGGGACAGGGGGGGGCTGTTCTAGGAAGTGGAGGCCACTGCTGGCAAGTTCACGGCACTCAGCCAGCAGCCCAGAGAGCAGCTGGATATCGGCCCTGGTGTGGGCCGTGGCTCCCTGGGGGACCCCCACTTCCCTTTTCCATGCTGTAAGCTTCCTAGACATCCCCCCCGCCAGTTTCTCCAACAGGGAGACCTGGTTTCGTATTTGCCGGGAGAGGGCCTGATGCTCAGTCCAAGACAGGCCCCTGGTATCCGCCTTACCTTCCCCAAAAGCCAGCACTGCCTGCAGCTCGTCCAGCCTGACCTTCCATCCCCAGGCTGGGGAGGAAGGCACGAGGGCCATGCTTGCCTAGGCCCAGGCAGAGCCCCTTGCTGTAGTAATTCCAAAGCCCAGAAATCAAGCTCCAAAGCAGCCACAAACGGGTGTGGTCCTGGTAACACACAGATGAAGCACAGAGCAGCTCCCTCTCCAGCAGTAATGGCAAACTCCTCCTACTCCAGTGGGAGGGGAGACAGTAAGCCCCACAACTGTGCAGATGGGACCGTGGTCTCTGCACATACAGCACAGGGGGTAGGGACGATCGGTTCTGCCCCCCAGCGACAGGGCTGTTTATCCAAAGGGGAGACAGTCGGTCTCCAGCAGCAGAGCTGTGTGTCCAAAGGGGAGACAGTCGGTCTCCAGCAGCAGGACTGTGTATCTAAAGGGGAGACAGTCGGTCTCCAGCAGCAGAGTGGTGTATTTAAAGGGGAGACAGTCGGTCTCCCCCTCCAACAACCAGGCTTCAACCAGGCTACCCTCCCAGTAGCGCTGTCAACAGGGCAGAGTGCCGCTGGTCTCTGCCCATGCAGCACCCCACCAAGTCAGCGTACCCGTACCCAGCACTGCCGTGGTGAGGCACCTGGACATGGACAAGCTTCTCCTCTACCCAGGTGCAGTAACCATTTATTGTGGGTGGGCTGTGCTGTTGATTATGTTTTGTGGGTGGGCTGCTGGACTAACAAGGGCACTGACCGGCAGGAGGTCAGATACCCTGTTAGTCTGTTTGGAAAAGGGGAGAGATGTGACGAGACCAATCTCGCCACATTGCATTGGAGAAGCCTGGTTGCTCGCCTGCTGCCTTTGGACTATGGCACCCTGTTAAGACATCTTTTTTACCTGCAGAAAAGCTTAATTCGTGCTTTTCTGCCTGGGGTTCGGTAGATTCAATCTACCGAACAACCGTACGAATGACTGGACCACCTGGGAGCTGGAGTGTGCCGGCAATTAACCTCCCGGCTTTTCCTGTTCGTCTGCTAGCAGCTATTTGGGAGGTTCCAGTTCGGGAGTTGGAGTGCTATTTTGTATCCAGTTCGGGAGTTTGGTGTTCTGCAGTAGCTGTGCCTGTATCTCTGGAAAGGGGGCCGATCGACTAAACGGTTTTTACCCCGTGTGCAAAACGGTCCGTTACAGGTTGAGTTTAAGGAAGTGAGCAGCCATCGAGTTGGAAATCACAGAGAGACAATCAGAGACACAAGTCAAGATGGACGGAGAGAGATTAGGAGAGGACAGATAGATTTGTGTGTCATCTGCATAGAAATGATAACGGAAGCCAAAGGAGCTGATGAGTTTACCAAGGGAGGCAGTATAGATAGACAGTAGGGGACCAAAGACAGAACCTTGGGGGACACCGGCAGAGAGTGGTTGGGGGGGAAGAGGCAGAGTCAGAGAAAGAAACACTGAAAGAGCTTGGGGAGGTAGGAGGTGCACCAGGAGAGCAGTATCCCGTAGACCAAAATAACGGAGAATGTGAAGAAGCTGTTGATGATCAACAGTGTCAAAGGCAGCAGAAAGATGAAGGAGATTTAGGATAGGCTAGTGGCAGCGAGATTTAGCAGCAATTAAATAATTGGGTACTTTGGTCACAGCCATTTTGACAGGACGACCAGCGCAGAATCCAGACTGAAGGGGGTCAAGCAGAGAG